AAGTGAAAATAAAGCAAAATAATTTTTAAAGTAACAAGGCAAAAAATTAATTGTTTTAATTTTCTTTTCTGGTTTTAATTTTTAAATCCTCTCATAAAATAATTAAAAACTCTTCTGATATTAAAGTTAATATTGTGATTTATTAAAAAGTTAATAATTTTTAAAAAAATTCAATTTCTCTTTTTTTTAAAAAAAAATTGAAGATTTACAAATTACTTCCAGGTTTTGAATGTTTATTAATTTTTAAAAATTTTTTTTTTTTTTTTTGGTGGGGGGGGGGATGTTAGGCTCGAAAACTTTATCATTATGCTCTTAGACATTAGCAACCATACGAAAAACAGTACAAGCCAAAGAGTGAACGATAGTCTCGATAGTGTTCAATCAAGAATCCATGCCATAGTAAAATTTGATTATTTCAATTACTTCTACAATGTCCTCAATGTGTTCAAAATATATTGCATCTGTAAAAAATCCAGCCTAATTTTCACCAATTAGAAAAAAATATTTGTAGATTGAAACACAGGTAACTAACTTACTAAGATATTAAAAGATTAAAAGTATAGGCCTAAGTTTTAGGATTATAAATGAACAATTCCTTTAAAAGTATATTTTTTTTTGTTTGAAAAAATCGTTATAATGTATATTTACAAGAAAAAATAGAAATAATTATTGTTTTTTTAATAATATCAATCCATTTTAACTACAATTATTATTAATAAATTTTGCTTAATTGCTTTGCGAACCCCACTTCTAATCAACAGACTTACAATAATAAAATTCATTTTTTGATCAAGAACCTTTTGCCCTTGTAAAAGGAATTCTGTGTTGATTAGCCTTGTAAGCTTTGTTTCCAAGTGACTTCTGTTACACATGTATTGTAGATGATATTTTTACCAGAGAATTCGGAGGTAATATTTAGTAGCTTAACTCCAGTGGGTATTGATATTTTGGATTATGAATTATTTTTTTAAACAAAGTGCTTTGTTTTTTTATGTGATAAACATTTTTTAAATGTCTTTTTCAATAAATTTCAGTAAATTAATGTACCATGTTTTTCAGGGGCATTAATTTCAATCTATTATTACATTAATTACATAGAAAACCCCACTTTAAAAAAAAAAAAACTTATATATTTTGGCAGCATCTATAGGTACCCGGGTACCTATGGTTGCCAATGACTATTCGCACCCGGAGTGGCTCCGTATATTAAATGGCTTCGTGACCGGGCGTGATAGCAATTATAGTATGAGAATTATTTTTTTAAATTGTTTTTTCTCCTTGTTATTTCATTGATTCATAGTTTTATTATTTTTAGTTGTTTTTTTATTTTTGCTTTGTTAATTTCTCTTAGTACCGGTAGATTTTTTTTTCTTTCTTATTTTTTTTTTTAGTTTAAGCCATTTTCGTAGCTAAATATTTTTTTTTTAAATCTAGTAATGAAGATGATTTAGATACATTTATTGTTTTCATTTGAATTTTAGAATAATAATAATATTAATTTAATTATTAAAATTGAATCCTTTATTTAAGATTATTTATGTGTATTGTTTAAGTTAAAAGATTTAATCACACAGTACTTTATGAATTAATTAGGTATTCTAAATAATGAAAATTTCATTCATAATGAATTAAACTTTATTTAAGATTATTTATGTGTATTGTTTAAGTTAAAAGATTTAATCACACAGTACTTTATGAATTAATTAGGTATTCTAAATAATGAAAATTTCATTCATAATGAATTAATTTCAACTATTCCTCTAGAGAGCTTGGCTTAGTCAGAACAAAACCACCAATTTTAAACCTTTGCCTTGGCACTGGGAGTCAAACATGCGGACACTGACTGTTTTTCCTGATATATTGAATCTCCTTTCAACAACCTTTCTCATTTGACTTGACCTAATTCACAAGGTAGTTGCAATGAACATCTTAAAGTTAAAAGATGCCATTGTAAAAAGTATGAAATAGAGACATATTTTTGGAGGACTATTCTTTTTTTTTTTTTTACCATATCTGTCTACTGGGTCTAAGACACTGGTACATAATTTAATAGAAAAAAAACCCTTAACTGACTTGAGAACATTTTTGTTTGGTTGTTAGTTATTTGAGTTGTGTACTCAAGTATTCCATAAAATAAATTAGGGGCCAGTATGGAGTAGGCAGCCATTAAACTCATTCAATTAGGTCACATCATTCCTTTGCCATTTGTCTCCTTTTACTTTCTCACCTTCCTTGTTGGTACCCGTACAGTTAACTATTGTTTGTATTGTATCATTTCTTCATTTAAGTACAGACGTAATGATTGAGTGGGAACAAATATATAATATGATCTTTGAAGGGAGTTTGGTTTCAGGGCAACTAAGCCATGCCACATTGAAAATAAAATACTAATAACCTAAATAAACAGAGCCATTGAAAAAAATATAGTACATACAAACCATACACAAACAGAATGACAAAAATCCACTAAAGTTTTTTTTTTTTAATTTGTCGTTACTTTTATTGCAAAAAATTAAACATTTATACCAATTTTGACTTTATGCAAAATGAATAAAGACAAATTTGTATTGCATTGTATTGTAACTTATTGTACTGTATATTAAATGAAACTTAGCATACACATAAAGAATAACATTGACAAAAAGTTTAAAGAAGATTGTTACACAGCAGTTATTGGAAGTGTTACAAATGGCATGTATGTGGGGGTCACATAAATATTTGAGAACTCTTCAGGGGTAGCAAATGTAAAAATGTTATAAAACTTTCTAGTTGGATATATATATATAAAAAAAAGGCTCTTGAATTTCGTAAAGAATATCAATGAAAAGAAGCATGAAATGTTTGAAGGCTGTAGCTAGAATACTTTTCCTCCCAATTCATTTGGTGTTCCTTAAAAATCCGGAAAATGCAAAATTGAGAAAAATGATTTTTTTTAAAATAAAATTATGTTTTTTAAAATTAGAGACTGCATGAACGATATAGGTTGCATACACCATGTACATATATCATTCATGAATTAAAAAACAATTAGAAAACTAAGACAGAAAAGATAGAAACAAAAAATGAACACACGAACCTAATAAATAAAATACATAAATACAAACATTCTGAAAACTTTTCCTATGAGACATTTGTTGAAAAAAAAATCCATCGTAAAGTAAAGAATCTCAATATAAAAAAGCATGCAAAGTTTCAATTATGTAGTTCCAAAACTATTCCTCCTGATTCATCAATGGATGTCTGGAAAAAAATATGAAAATGCTATATCTATAAAAGCTGAAAAAGACACTGAAACAACATTGGATGCATACATCATGAACACATTCCACTCGTTAATTAAAAATAACAATTTAAGAACAAAGATATAATTGATAGAATATAAATAAATGCATTATCCCAACAACCCACATACCTCGAGCCCAATAAAAATAAGATGATAAAAACTTCTGAATTTTTTTTATCAGACATGTAATAAATAAGATCAATCATAATCATTATGTAGAGACTATAATAGAAACAACCTTGCAAATTTGAAGCATGTGGTAATAATACTTTTCCTCATTATACATTTGATGTCAGAGATAAATGGAAATCCTAAGTGGACCACTTTAAAAAGAGAAAAAAATTCAATTAAGCAATATTA